GAAAGGCTTTTATTTCATTTACATACAGAACTTCCATATTCTTACAGAAAAAAATTCATAATTGAAGAATACGGAGATCTCCCTCAAAAAACAATGGGCATGGGCAGTCTCCATTAAGGTTCCGGAATTTTTCGTAGTTTTTTGACAGTGCACGGCAGTCTGGGACCTCTTCGACAAGGCCGAAAGGTAAGAAGGGTAGTGCGATCGTGTGCTAGCTGAAGTCTTTCTCAACTTGGTTAGCTTGATTGCGTTTCTTCTACGGGGTCATAGCCAGGGACCAGGCTGACAACGGTGATGATGATGACAACGGTGGCACCAACAACACCTCTACCACTACCAATGTCACCTCCTCTTCAACAACCACCACCACCAGTGGCGGCCCCTCCACCAGTTGAACGCGTCACTGCCGCTGAGAGACGAGCGCGGTACCTCGTAAGGGCGGAGCGGCGGGCGACGCAGCAGGGCGCGGCCTCCGAGACGGAAGCGGGGCTCCTCCGCGAGGAACTGGCCCAGGCCGACGGCCGATTGGCCCAGGTCCGAGGCCAATTGGGCCAGGCCGAAGGCGAATTGGCCCAGGTCAAAGGCCAATTGGCCGAGGTGCCGGTTCTGCGGATGAAGCTCCAAACCGCTAGGGCGGCCCTGGCTCGCGTCGAGGAGGGTGTTCGTCAGATGACAGTGAGCAATACTCGCCCTCGTGTATTCCCGACAAAAATTAACAGAGCACTTTTAGTCATCGTAATATTTTCGAAGTCTTTCGAGCTAGGAGGTTGAAATTTTATAAGGAAAAGAAAACCAAACGAGTATCATCTGCTTTCATTAACGTTCGTTGAATGAGATTTATTTTCTTGTTTGGCCTAAGTGAGGCTTTTTCTCACTATGTCAGGCTTTGCAGCACATCGTCGAAGAGAAAGACGAAAATCCCATCGGGCCTGCTTGAAGTCTCCCGAAGCGCCTAATCAGACGCATATCATTGACTGCTGAGCGATAGCGAAGCCCGTTACTCCAGTGGGATTGAAAAGTTTTGTCTGTCTGCGTGCGTGTGTGTGCACTACTCCTCCTTAACGGTTCAGCCGATCTGGCTGAGATTTTGCAGGCTCATTGGGTATCTTCTTGGCTCGGCACACGCGAAATTTCACTTTCCTAGCTCAACTGGTTCGGTTTTTTGGCTGAGCGGTAGCGAAGCCCGTTACTCCAGTGGGGTTGAAAAGTTTTGTCTGTCTGTCTGCGTGTGTGTGTGCACTACTCCTCCTGAACAGCTCGGCCGATCTGGCTGAGATTTTGAAGGGTCATTAGGTATGTCCTTGGCTCGCTACACACCAAAACTTGGCTTTCTATCTCAATCCATTCGGTCATATTAGCCAAAAACACTTAAAAAACGGCAGAAAAAAGACAACTCTTTAGTTACTTTCAATTTTTTTGTCAAGTTTCATATTATTTCATGTGTTTTGGAGACTGCTGATGACGAACATAAAACCCGTTCGGACCCCCGACCGAAAGTTGAATCCCATCGGTGAAGATTTTCATGACCAAATGCTATTTTTAGCGGGATTACGCTCATTTCTACGGTCTGCCTAGGAAAGCAGCCTGCCGAAGGCAGGTTAGCGCCGCAGGCCAAGGTAGGTGTATACGCCAGGCGTGGATGGTCGAAACTAGCGCAGCATCGCGAAGCCTGTTACGAGAAGACATGGTCTGGCGTACACCTACACTCTCATTCCAGGAACGTGACATCACGTTGAAACGAACGTGACAAAGTGTCACGTTCGTTTGAATGTGAACGAGCTGATTTTCGGCCAATTCACACCCAAACGAATGTGACACAATGCTCAAACGAACGTGACAGTTTGTCACGTTCGTTTCAACGTGATGTCACGTTCCTAGAATGAGAGTGTACCTTGTATAGCCTAAACACCTAAAAAGCGGCGAAAAATCGAGTGTTCTCTCTCGTCTTGATGACAGGGGGGTCTGGGCAGCCTCCACAAGTTGAATAGTAACAAGGGTGAAGATGGTGTAATTTATAGATGAAGCAACTCTTTCTAGAATGAAGGGGGCATGTATCAAATCTCAGTAACTGATGACGGACAAAATTTGCCTGCCGAGGGCAGGCTAGCGCCGCAGGCCAAGGTGGGTACGCCAAGCGTAGATTGGACGAACAGGCAGCGAGACGTCGCGAAGCCTGTTACGACAAGACGCGGTCAGGCGTAAACCTACCTTGTAAGTAAATATGTAAGTATGATGTGCTTTGTGTGTTTGTGAGTTTTGTGCCCCAGGCTTTGTTTCTTAATTGTTCATTACATCCCCAGGTGCGTGTATTCACCATATCAGGTGCCATGCTGGCCAAGAGAGCACACACACACACACACTTCGGTTCATGCCGTACTTGGGAGTCTGAATCTCACTGCTTCACTATGCTAGTCATGCAAGAGTGGAGTCCTGGCTGCTTCATCACGTTGAGCAGCTTGCCAGGTCACTTGCTTTTGTTGGCTGAGCGATAGCAAAGCCTGTTACTCCAGTGGGGTTGAAAAGTTTTGACTGTCTGCGTGCGTGTGTGTGTGTGCACTACTCCTGAACGGTTCCACCGATCTGGCTGAGATTTTGCAGGCTCATAAGGTATGTTCTTGGCTCGGCACACGCGAAATTTCATTATCCTAGCTCAACTGGTGGATTGTTGGAACTGGCGCAGCATCGCGAGGCCTGTTGCGGGTGATTCCGTGCGTAGGGGGTCATTTCAGGTCACTGGGGCCTTGGCCTGAACGGAGGTTGATTTGGTAGCTTGGGTAATTCGGATTTGTTTTATTAAACGAGGGCCATGTCCTCATGTGGATAAGTCAATCTAACTTTTGTTTTTCTAGGTTTTGTAAGCTGCTCTAAATTGTCGTTTTGCAAGTTCCGTCATGGTCACCGACACCTAAAAGACAACGTTGCCATGCTGAGGTATATGACACAACCACATCAAAAGAAAACTGGCTATTTCACACTCTTCTGACTTATTCTTCACAAAATGGCGGAAAGTGACCTTTGCATCATCATTTGTTGAACCCGAAACAGCTTATGGGAAAATGTCACTCGTGTGACCATGACCTACGCTGCTTTCACAACTGACGGTCCACTGGGGTTCCTTTTCGTTTAAGAACCTCGCGACCACTTGGCATCGAAAGAACGTCGATAAAGCTAACAGAAGCCCGTGCCCGCGGGACCTGGGGCGGTCAAACGAAGCTTCCAGGCAGTCAGAATTGTTCAAAACGATTAAGGTGTACAAATAGGTGTAAATTCCGTTTCGGGTCGTAACTCGTCCACCTGAGGGACACTGCAAAAAATTCCGTGGTTTGGCACGGAAAATGTACGGAAAAATGGGGTACAGACGGGTACGGAAAAGGAACGGACCTTCTGTATTGGTCCTTTGTGGTCCCCATAAGGATCTCATGTAAACAGGTACAGAAATCGTGTTCAGAACCTCCTTGGTTGGCAAGGTACGGACCGTCCAGGTAAAAAATTGACCAGACATGTTCCGTGTAATTTCTGTACTTTTTTGTATCAGTGGAGAGCTGCTCCAACCATCGCTGAAACACGCTATTTTGGATGCTCAAAATGACACCGTCGACAGTTCTTACCTATCTTGTAACCCAGCGGGTCAGGACAGTAAACACTTCGCTCCGTCAATTCCATCTGAAAATACCGTCATTTTTTTCTGTAAATGCCACCGTATTTCATGGGGTGAAATTAAAAGTCACCTTGTAGCGTTGCCACGCTCAGAGGAGTACTGTGGGGTACTATGTATGCCATCTGCACGAAATTTAGCCGCAAAAGTAAAACTTTTTATCTAAAAAAAAAATTGGTATACCCAAAATGACCCTTGACGCACGTAATCACCCTACGACCAGACATGGTCTGGCGTACACCTTCCTCGTTAATGGAAAGATGGAATCAGTATGTTTTGCGAAACGTTGAAGTTCTGATCCTGAGTCTTAGCTTGATGGATGTCTTGCTCGGAAATGAAATCACGAAAGCTTAGCTGGTCCCCTGGAACGATGACGACCTGGCCGCCACACTCGCTTGTGACACACTGGATAGTCAGCACCATTCGGGCGGCACTTTTCATCATTTTCTATTACAAGGTAGGTTTCTGCAGAAAACTCGATTTTTCGCCGTTTTTAGGTGTTTTTTTCGGCTATAAAAACTGAACCAGTCGAGCTAGGATAGTGAAATTTCGCGTGTGCCGAGCCAAGGACATGCCCTTTAAGTGTGCAAAATCTCACCGAGATCGGCCGAGCCGTTCAGGAGGAGTAGTGCGGACACACACACACAAACAGACAGGAAAAACTTTTCAACCCCAATGGAGTAACAGGCTTCGCTATCGCTCAGCCAACAAGAAAGACAACCGTGGCAACGACGAACAGTTCGGTCCGAAGTCAGGTCGAGGGGGCTACTCTTGCGGCCTCGAAAGGGGAAGGACATGACGCTGATCAACCGGGCGGGGTGGCGCCCCGCCCTAACCAAGAATTTTTTGGCTGAGCGATAGCGAAACCTGTTACTCCAATGGGGTTGAAAAGTTTTGTCTGTGTGTGTGTCGGTCCGCACTATAGTCAGACTAGCCGAACTTCCTCGGATGCCGACGGCCGACTGACCGAGCGGAGCTGCTGAGGCGATGCTCAGCTTGCTGGCCCTCTCCCCTCCACACTCTCGCACATGCGCAGATGCTTGTCGAAAGTAGTCCCGCCCGCAACCCCTCCGCCGTCCGCCGCCGCTACAGGTTTGAACGGGTTGAACCTGGTGATGGGCCGGCCTTTCATGTTGTTTGTGCTCATGGCTTGATTGGCCTCCACTCTCATGAAGCAATGTAAAAATTGTTAGTATTGTTTGTGTTGTTTGAATTTTTAGCGCTGAAGCAGTTGTCGTGAGTGGTGAGTTTTGGTTGCATCGGATACTTTTCTTTTACATCAACTCTTTGAGAGGTTATGAGAGGACTTCTGAGGCTGTTTTTGCAATGTCGTTTTCTGATTGACCCCGTTTTGATTGCAGACCATGGCTAAGAAGAGGAGAACCCCTTTAAAACCGCGGAGGGTCACTGCCGTGAACCTCCAGCGAGGTGGTATGCAGGGAAAGGGCTGCAACAGTCAGCTTCAACGCTGCATTATCTACTTGTATAATTTCTTTCGGACTGAAGCAAACAAATTTTTGAGAACGGGAAAACTCACTGTGCCACTTACCAAAGTACCGTAAGTTTTCGTTACATTACTGCTTCAGTTGTTTTTTTTAAAGGTTTGTGTTTCTCAATACTTGGATATGATTGTTCCAGTGAGAGAGTTGCAAAAGCACTTGGACTGAGTGTCAGCACAGTCCGAAAGTACTTAAACAAACATCGAAGAGGATCTCCCCTGAAAACTCCTACCCATGGAGAGAGAGCAAAGCCACTCCGAAATGTAGACAAATTCACTGAAGGAGCGATAAGAAGGCTCATTTATGAGTTACACAGGTGTCGTAAGTATATTTGATAATAATCTATCAGAGAAATGAGAGAAGATTGAGGTCTGGCTTGTTCAGACTTGGCTAACCACCTGCTGTGATTATAATGAGTTTCTTCCCTGCAGGTCGCCATTTCACTGTTAAGTCTCTGTTGCAAATGATTAGGTACATCTTTCATTTTGTTTCATTGTTTTCTCACATCTCATAGCTTTTCATTTCTGATACTGAAAATTTTTGTGCTTTTATGTTTTTCAGAGAAAGGGGGATTGATTTTCATGGAGGCAAAGACACCCTAATAAAACTTTTGAAGGATATGGGCTTTGCTTTCCGAAAGAGGGATGGTCGAAGGTACTTGCTGGAGACCCCTCGAATCACCTTGCTCCGAATCAAATATTTGAAATTGTTCATGGAGCACAAGAAGCTAAAGCGCTACTTCGTCTACTTGGATGAAACTTGGTTTTTTCAGTTTGGCAGCAACAAGTGTAAGATCTGGCAGGACTCTGACATAAAATCATGTCCCATCCGTAAAACTGCAAGTGATACAGGGAAGCGCTACATTTTGATTCATGCTGGTGGGTGCGAGGGTTTTGTTGAAGGGGCAGCGTTGTGCTACTGCTCTGGTCAGAAGCCAGAGGAGCATGATGACTTCCATGGTCAGGTGAATGCCAAGATAATGAAAAAATATTATGTGGAATGTCTATTGCCCAATCTCCCTGAAACACCCTGTGTCATTATCCAAGATAATGCTTCTTATCACAGAGCTCAGGTAAAGTTTTTTTATCTTTTTGTATTCTTTTGTATGTCCTGTTTTATAATGAGATTTTTTTCAGGATTGCTTCCCTGAATGAGAGCAGTGGCGTGGGGGAGAGACTGTTTTTATTCTTTTCAGTAATTTTTTTGTTAATCCAAAACTTTCTTTCTGACTAGGACTTGGACTGAACAGTATTAGTGTACTTGGCATACTATGTCAGTCTGTACTGAAAGTATTACTGCAGCGTCCCCAGTTGCTCTGGGTATGTAGCACATAAGTGTGCAATTGCTTCTGCTTCACTGAATGCCCATTTGTACTTTTCTTCTCTTTTCAAATCTCACTAGCCTCTTTGCTGTACTGTGCCAGCATCAATCTTCACCTTGTCTTGGCGTTGCTAGAGTATGCATGTGATCTGGATGGAGGCTTCAAATGTAACAGTGTGTGCATGTGACATTAATTTAAATGTAGAGAGGCCCTGCCGCTCTACATTGTGTTCCGAATTTCGTTTAGAGATGGTGATGCTAGGTGCTAGGACCCCTGAGTTCATGGATTTATCTTAAGCAGGGGTCTACTTTGCATCCTGTTGTTTTTCACTCTGCAATATAGATGTAAAATGCTCTTAAAATATATCCTATTGCAAATAAAATTTCACTGCCCTTCATGTTTTGCAAACAGAACGCTTATTAATAAGTTTTTTGACAGGTGTTTCCAGTTATCATTATGGCAATGGAAATTGATGTATTTGTGTGTCTGTTTCATGCTTAATATTTCTGTAGCTTTGCTATCGTTTTCCCTATGCACGTTTTTACTTGAGCTTTGCTTCCCATAAGTTTCCATCCTTATGAGATACTTCTAGTGTTACAGTCTATAATGCAATGTTTCCTTATTTATTGTGCTTTTGATATTAATAATAATTTTTGTTTGTAGGATGTCTCATTCAGCAAAATGTTGAAGCAGGATCTTATAAACTACCTGAATAGTAAGGGGATTTATCCTAGTGGTGATCCTATTGTCCCTGTACTGAAGAAAATGGCTGAGAGTGCAAGAGGTGAAATGAGACCACCACTCTTCCAGCTCCTAGCAGGCACAAAGCACCACATCTTACAGCTACCACCATACCACCCACACTACAATCCCATTGAATTGATTTGGGGAATTATCAAGAGGTATTATGACAGCCATGTGGGAAGAGACAATAACTACAGCGAGGAAATGTGCCTGCTCATCCTGAACGAGGCTTTAGCCCTCATTACACCTGAGGTGTGGGCCAAAACCGTCAGCAAGGTCGAGAATAATGTTTTTCAAGATTATTTCTCGCATGTGCCTCAGGACAGCCAGACGATCAAGCCTTTCATCATTCATGTAGGAAATGATGACAGTGATGACAGTGATTTTGAGGATGATCCTGACAATCCAGAGGAAATAAACATTGACTTGATTGATCAGAGTCAAGTGTAAGTTAGTCAATTTATTTGTAGTATATGATGTTGAAACTTGACTGCAAACAGTGTTTTGTAATCCCTCTAATCAGGCTTTCTATTTCCAGTGTTGATAACATCATCACCACCACCACTTCTGTTTCTGATCCCTTTTATTCTTCTGTTTCTGATCACCCTCCGAACTTGACCCCGGTTTCTGATCACCCTCCGAACTTGACACCTGTTAATGAGCCTGTAGCTAAGCTTGACACAGCTTTATCATTCAGTCCGGTGAGATTCGCCCGTCATTAACCTATGAAATCTTGATCAATTTTTTATGCAATAATATTAATAATTGTGTTCTTCAATTTCAGAGTGTATATTACAGCCCACCTTTGCAGGATTTCAGCTTACAGTGGAGCTACATTCCCCATCGTAAGATAACGATTGAAGAAATTGAGGGTGCTGTCCATAGTATTCTTGACCCACTGGATGGGAAGGTACCTATATAACTATAAAATTGACAAATGACATATATATTTTCCTTTTTTTAAAGTAATTAAGTAATCTTTCAGGAAGAAAATGAGACACTTGACATTGTGTTATCACATAAATATTATGAAAACTTCATTGTCTGGGAAAGATCTCCTAAGGTATGTAGCCTATTTAAATTGATACTGGCATATTATTTGTTATGATTAATAATTAAATTATCCGCCAGGATGAACTGCCAAGGAAATCACCAGCAGACTCCATTTTTGAGAAAGGATTTGTCACACCTGACCCACACCATATCCAAATCTCTGTGCCAAGTACGAGACAGATTTCTCCTTTTATTGTTGCAGATCTAGATGAGGTGAGAATCATTTCAAAGTTGTGGTTTTGGTAATTGCTTCTCCACAGTTTAATGTTTTTTTTTTTTTAAATGTTGCAGCAAGATAGTGTTTCTTTGAGGAAAAGTACTGGTTCACACTCCTTGCAGGGATTCACTGTTCTAGATCATTCAGAAACTGTGACCAGCGTTACTTTGAACACACGTCCTGGTTCACACTCCTTGCAGGGATTTACTGTCCTCGATCATTCAGAAACTGTGACCATTGACTCTGATGAAGGTGACACTCCACCTCAGTTATTACCTTCTCTTGCAACTGTAACCACATTAGAGGTATGGTTTTTGTATTTAAATGATTTTTCATTTTTAGTTATATTAATTTGATTTTCTTACTTTTATTCATGTTTTCTGTTGTTCGCATGCAAATAGGAAGCTTTTAACATGCCAGATGACCAAATGCTTGTCATGCGACGGTCTATCATTCTTAGAGTGAGAGATCTGATTCTTATGAAACCATTAAAATGGTTAAATGATGAGGTGACCTTACAGTATTTTATCCAAAATCATTATGGGTGATTTGAGTATTTATCATTCATGCTTTCTGGAATTTCCGTAGATCATCAATTTTTATGGAGCACTTTTGATGGACACTCATCCTGATGTGCACATCATGGACACGTTTTTTTTTATAAAATTAATCACTGGCGACAGCGGTGTCCTCAAATGGACTAAAAATGTATGTTAAATTTCTGTTGAAATGTTGTATGTTGTTACTTTGTTGCCAAGTTCTCTTGCCGGACGACTGTGCATTTATGTAAAATCTAATTGTGCTTGCTGCATGTTTTGTCAGGTTGATATTTTTGATTTTCGATGTGTCCTCTTTCCGATCCACTTGGGTGCTCATTGGGCTCTGTGCTCAATGTCATTCAAGGAAAAGAAATTGTGTTACTATGACAGCTTGGACCAGAAAAATCAAGAATGCCTTGAGGTAATTGCCCTTTCAATAATTATTTTGCACAAGTTATCTGTTGTGTGACCATCATTGCTCTCTTTTCATCAGGAAATATTGGTGTTTATCTCTCAAGAGTTGACGCGGAAGAGGCAGTGCCATGTAATTCGACATGAATGGTCATTGGAGCATTCTAAGGTTTTTGAAAAGCAAATTGCTCATACACATTTGTTAATTAAAATTTACCACTGGTACTTGCTGCAGGTAATTCAAACATCATTTCTTTCTTTTCAGGGTATTCCTTCTCAGAACAATGGTTCAGATTGTGGTGTTTTTGTCCTGGCCTATGAAAGGTGCATCTGTGAAAACAAGCCAGTTTCATTTGATTCCCAAAATTTTGATGAGGTGAGACTCAACATGGCTAGGGAAATGTTAGCAGGCAAATTAGACAATAATACATTATTGCCCTTTAGTCCTACTGATAAGGTAATATCTGTGTTTCACTGGAAGTTATCATTTGTTTTAGTTGCCACAATTAACCCAAAATTGCATCCCTCAGATTTTGACAGCTGTGAAACGAAGGAGTAAAGGATCAAGGAATCTGCTTGCTAAGCAACTTCCCGGATCCGAACAGAGTGGTAAAAAGAGTGATGAAAAGCCTGTCAAAAAGGTGCGCTCTGCCCCTTCCAAGAAACTGCTTGCTGAAAAAAGTGTGGTCTCAATCACTCCCCTTTGCAAGGTACGATAAATGGGTCCTAAATCTGTGCAGATACATGTAGGGGTGGCTATTGGTAAATTCTGAGAAATAATACAAACTAATAAACAGGTTAAAAAAATATTTTCCATCTCCCTAATATTTCACTTATTTCTACAATAATTTTTATAGCTGTTTAATATTATGTTATTCCTGTTAAGGCTCTGATTTTTATTTCAGAGCCAGGAAAATGGTTTCAGCTGAAACAAGTGCTGGACCTTGTGCTCTGCATGTTCCCGCTGCAACTCCACACAGTGTCATAAATTGAAGGTGAAAGTAAATCCATGTATTTTCTTTGTTTTGTTCCAGGACACAGTGAAGAAGAGTGTAGCTTCTTCAAGTAACTCCAAACATAGCCACAAAGTAGCTGAGTATTTTCCAGTGAGTGTCACACCAATATCAATGAATTAGTCATAATCTGAGGTACATTTTCTTAAGGCACACTGCACCTTTAACTTCCACCCGGGTGGAAGGATCTATAGTGAAACTGCAGTTTAAACTGTAGTGCCAAAACTACAGTTCCTAAACTGCAGTTTTTAGTAAGAACAAAGTGCAGAATAAGTCCAGTTTCAGTTTGCTCATGGATCTGTAGTTTGCTGTGTATGTAAACTGCTTTCTAGCTGAACTGCTATTTGTTGACCAGGTATTAAGTACTATCTGTAGTTAAAAAGTGAAGTTACAAGTTTCTTAATACTAATCTACTTAAATAGTCCACTACTGAAGATCCGCCTTCACTTATATCTGCAGCAGGATCTACAGAGGAAATAAAGTTTCTGCTCATACTTTTTTACACAATGACAAACTAGTTGAATGTTAACTACAATTTGCAGTAATTTTTCGCTTAAGGCATAGTTTAAGATGTCAAGCACTGCAACTTGATATGAAGAAACAAAAACAATTACATTAAGTGATTAAAATAATATAAGGATTGAAAAGGAAATATCTCTTAGAAGTTTCAGTTATTTCTTTTAAAGGTTTACGTTGAAATACTTGACGTTGGAGACTTTTAGAAGACACGACTAAACTTCCATATGAAAACCTATATGGCTGGATGTAACCAATTCTTAAAATACTATCTGGTTCTGTTTGCTTATTTTATAATGTTCCATATTAGTCAGGTAGCATGTGACAAAGTATCGTGGAAATCAACAAGCCACAAAATTTAGCCAGCTTGTCGCCAAACAAGGTCTAGCTAAGTGGCATCAAATTCATTATGACTGGATGATAAAATGTCAAACACAAATAAAACTAGAAAGCATTATAATGCAGTGCGTCTCAGAAGTTGAAAAGGTAACGACTCCAGTCGTTGAAAATTAAGACCTTGAAGGCTCTCTGAATTAAATCACTCCATGGTGTCTTGGTTTCTGAGGCAAATTCATTATAAATTACATTTTGGACAAGTGGATTTCACTCAAAGTACAGAGTGGCTTACAGTAAAACTGTAGTTTTCTAGCAGTTGGACTCTAGTTCCTGAGGAAAGCCGGCCTTTCCATGTGGTCGAGTAGCCAAGCCCCTATCCACAAGGAAGCTCAGTGGAGCAGTGGTCAAGGCCTCTGCTTCACAAGCCATGGGTCCGAGGTTCAACTCCCGGCAACATCCGATCACCAAACACAATTAACACAAAGTTAATCACCCAAGGGGTCAGAGGGAGGAAGAGTCCCCTCAAATCAGGGTTCAAAAATTAAAAATTTTGAATTTTGAACCAAAATTTCAAACTGCAGATTGTCTTCTCCTTTGAACTAACTCTGGCTGTGTAACTAAACTACAGTATAACTGTACTTTGAACTATAGTAAACTGATCTGAAGACTAGGGCAACCTAGGCCAAAAACTATAGTTGTCCGAAATAACTGGTACTTTTTTTGCAGTTTAATTATAGTTTACTACACTTCAACTGTAGTTGAACTACACTTTACCTGCAATTATACAATACATTACAGTAATTTAAAGTATGAAAAAAAGTATTTAAAAATTAAGTTTAACATTTCAAAAAATCTATACTTTTCCAATGAAGTTTAAACTGCAGATCCTTCCACCCGGGCAGATTGGGAAACCTCCGGTTTCCTCTGCTTCCTCCTCACGTGTCACCTCTAACATAGTTCCCAAAGCTTCCCTTGAACTGAAAGAGCTCGTTACATCCATGAGTGGTGTTTTTTTAGTGCAATCGGCAGGAATCTCACAGCGAACGGAAGAACTTTTTAAACACAGAGGCAATGCTCAGTGTACAGCCATTGCTGCTTGTGCCATTTCTACCCTTTGCTTAAAAACACCACCATACAGCAGAGAAGATTTGAACACTATTGTTAGGGAAGGAGACAGCTATTATGGACATGTGAGGGAAAGTGTTGATGCTGTGTTTCTGTCTCCCGAAGATCTTATTTCACCTCTCAAAGTTTGTGGACGTGAAATTCAATTTGATTTGGAAATGTGTGGGGGAGGACAGTTTATTCCGACTGTAGACAATGATCTGTCTGCAGTTGTTGAAAATGCAGTACAAGCATACCAAAGTGACCTTGGAAGATGTGGCTTTATATTTGTTGGGCACACCAAGTCTGTGTGCTTCATTCACCTTAAAGAAAACCAATTTTTTTACTTTAATTCTCACTGTGTAGATAGAAATAACAGAATATGCCATGTAACAAAAAAAGGTGCTGCTAGGCTTTTCAGATGTTTGTCAATTCGTGCCCTCTTGAGTTGCTTACTTGCTGATCACCCTCGTGATAATGGCCACTGGCTATTATATGCTATTCTTCTACATTTGTAATGCGGTTTATGTTCTGTTTTGACGCCTCCTAATAGAATAATCCTAACTGTCAGTGCTGATCCAAGACAATCCTAACTGCTAAGAGGTTTCAGAGGAGGCTAAAACTGCTCATTAGCTCTCTTCAGTCCAAAGCACCGAATCATGATATCACTGAAATACAGCTTCCATGTTAATATGCAAGGTTTATACTTTTTAACAAGTCCATTGCCAAGAAATTTGAAGCAGCATGTTAGCATGTTGGCGTCACAGAATTTTATAAGACATAGCTTTTTCCATCGTACAATCTGCGCTGACAGTTATAATTGTCTTGGATCAGCACTGACAGTTAGGATTATTTTATTAGGAGGCGTCGGTTTGACTCTTGATTTACATGTTTTGTGAGAGGGGCAAACAACTTCATCAAAATTTGTACTCCGTTATTTCAAATCCACGTTATTTCATGTCATTTCTTTGTTATTCCAACGTTATTTCGAGTTATTTCTGGTCATTTCGCGTTATTCCACCGTTATTTCAACGTTATTTCACGAAAAATGTGCACCAAAATTCAAGCTGTTTGCCCTTCGGTTTTGTGATGAAGATATGTAACTGTCTCTCAAGTGGTTTTTCAAAGTGATTATTTTATGTACCAGACATATTAACGTGATATATTTTGCATTGGGACAATGCTCAGAACAATGACTTAACTCGTCTGTTAAATTCAAGCTGTTTGCCCTTCGGTTTTGTGATGTAGATATGTAACTGTCTCTCAAGTGGTTTTTCAAAGTGATTATTTTATGTACCAGACATATTAACGTGATAGTTTAATTATGATGCCAAAAATTAAAACTATATTTTGCATTGGGACAATGCTCAGAACAATGACTTAACTCGTCTGTTAAATTCAAGCTGTTTGCCCTTCGGTTTTGTGATGAAGATATGTAACTGTCTCTCAAGTGGTTTTTCAAAGTGATTATTTTATGTACCAGACATATTTACGTGATAGTTTAATTATGATGCCAAAAATTAAAACTATATTTTGCATTGGGACAATGCTCAGAACAATGACTTAACTCGTCTGTTAAGTTCAAGCTGTTTGCCCTTCGGTTTTGTGATGTAGATATGTAACTGTCTCTCAAGTGGTTTTTTAAAGTGATTATTTTATGTACCAGACATATTTACGTGATAGTTTAATTATGTTGCCAAAAATAAAACTATATTTTGCATTAGGACAATGCTCAGAACAATGACTTAACTCGTCTGTTTCCCATCCCCACGCACCTTGAACGTAGCTTGAACTCTACATTTCAATACACAGTGCAATCATGTAGTAGCCATTCTCTATGGTGCAATTTGTCGACACGGCAGTGGGCACATTTATTGATACGAAAGGAGACAAGTGTCATAGGATAGGTCATGACAAAGTGTTGGTTGTCTCGGACAATTGAATTTTCGCGCTACGGGGTGCCCATTTGCTTCAAGCGATTTGGGATGCATGAGACTTGATCATCATAGACTAATAATACTATGGGGCACATAAAAAACACTAATTGTAGGACTATGTAATCATTTTGCCTCTATTGGAAATATTAACGAAAAATACTCCATTACCGTTGGAACTACTTCGCAGTGCGGAAAATGGCAGTCTGTGTTAGGCTGAGCACGTCTGCGCATGCGCGAGAGTGGGAGGGGAGAGGGCCATCACGCGAGCATCGCCTCAGCAGCTCAGCACCGGTCAGTCGGCCGTCGGCATCCGAGGAAGTTCGGCTAGTCTGACTATACTCCCCCTGAACGGCTCAGCTGATCTCTGTGAGATTTTGCAACCTTTGAGTAATGTCTTTGGCTGGGCACACGCGAATTTTCACTATCCTAGCTCAACTGGTTCAGTTTTTATAGCCGAAAAACACCTAAAACACGGCGTAAATCGAGTTTTCTTCAGGCAGATCACTTCTGTCTTGAAAAAAACGGGTTGAAAAGTTAAAAGGGTCAAGATCGTGTTATCTGCAGATGAAGCAACTCTACCGTGAACGAAGGGGACAAGTTAGACGTAACCGACGATGGACAAGCCATTGCCTGCCGAAGGCAAGCTAGCGCCGCAGGCCAAGGTAGGTACGCCAAGCGCGGATTGGAGGAACAGGCAGCGGGACATCGCGAAGCCTGTTACGACAAGACGCGGTCTGGCGTAAACCTACCTTGTTTAAAAAGTTAATTGACTGAGCGATAACGAAGCCCGTTACTCCAGTGGGGTTAAAAAGCTATTTCTGTCTGTGCGCCCGCGCGTGTGTGTGAGTGTATACCCCTCCTGAACGGCTCGGCCGATCTGGCTGAGACTTTGCAGGCTCATTAGGTATGCTCTTGGCTCGGCACACACGAAAATGCAGCTTTCCGACAATATCGGCCGCTTCTTTGAGATGGTCACATCAGAATCTTGAAACAAGGGGGTCGGAAGGGGGGTCCAGGTGCCCGACACCAGCAGTTGACCAGATCAGGATTTTGGGAAAAGGGGGTCGACCGACTTAAAATTGTTATCGCGGTATTCGACTAGGATATATTCTACTAACCTTCACAATGTGCTCTACCCATTGTATTGCATACTCCTATCAATAGGGTACTATCGTAGATCCCTGAACCGGAAGCACACAGACGCCATGTTGGCGGAAGTAGATCCAAACTTGACATGGGAAAGAGACGTTCGTCGAAGGTATCGGCCACACTTAAAAATTAACAGTCGTTTGATACTTGTTTGCAGTGCATATGTGTTTCGCGAGCAATATTTGTACAGCTCGGATATAGTTATGGATCCGAAGAGAGGTTAGTTTCCGGCCAATTTGGCGTCTGCTGGTCTGCTTGCTTCCGGTTCAGGATTCTTCGAAAGTACCCTATATCTGTGACAGCTTGCCGAAGGCAGGCAGAAAGCACCTCAGGCCAATGTAGGTGTTAACGCCAGGCGTGGATTGTCAAAACTGGCGCGGCATCGCGAAGCCTGGTAAGACAAGACACAGTCTGGCGTACACCTACCTTGTTTTAGGCTGTTCGCTCAAAAGAAAAAAAACAACACGAAGATTTGGACCTTCTCTAAAGTCGTTGTACCGACGAAATCGGATTTTTCGTCAAAAATTACGCTTGGTAAACTTTGACCCATCCACTTAATCACATTTATTACCCTATCTGTGACTGGCCTTCACGTTTACCACAATACTACTATGAAAAGTAAATACTACCTTCCGTGACTTCACAACTTCACACCGCCAATCCAAGTGTGAGACAGTCTCACTCTATTTAGTGCGAACCACTATGTGTCACGTATAAGCGTGAGACTCCGTTTGTCCCTCACTTGCAAGCGTGCGTTCTGTAGCATTAGACCACATGGAGCCATAGGCAGCAAGAGTGTGAGACAAACCGTGTCTCACACTTTTTGTGAGACATTTTCCAAGTCTCTGCCGGTTCTCTGGGTATGGATTGAGGCTGATCACTCGCACTCGCGATTGGATTGGAGAGGACTTCATTCACCAACGAATGATACATCACGTCTGAGAGGCGAATTGAAGAGTTCCTAAATGGAAGCCGTAACATTAAGAATAGTAACAAGAAAATGTTAAGTCACTAACATCCGAAAAATTTACGCGTGTCACGGTGAGGCCCGGGGTGCGTGGCGAAGGAGACTGAACCAGGTCTAGAGGTCGGACACCAGAAATTGCATTCAATCTGTAACATAACGTGAAAAATAGTAAGCGGTTGCCTAGCACTAACATATTGACTAACCTCGTTTACTTTTCATGTCGCTTTGTTATTGTCAGATAAAAATACACACGCTTATCAACCTTTAGAATTATTTTGAGCATACTTTTCTCAAACTATTTCACTTTGTCATACGAAGAGAGAGTTCGTAAATCACGAAGTATTTTCTTTGTAAGCCCATGAATGCTCAAAATACTTTCTTATAAGAAGCTCTTTTTCTTGGCCTGAACTAGTTTGTAAGGTTATCTCAATGCACAAAATAATGACACAATAAGTGAGCAAGGTTTTGCGAGATATTTTGAATCGAATCGTACTTTGTTTGTTTTTGTGACAGACAAAACAACGACAGTATGGTGCGTATGCTTCTAGAGAGCGAACTAGACTTTCTCTCTTTACGCAAACACGCGCGGGTGCTCAGGCAGCCACTTGAAGTTGGCGACGCGCGACAGGGCAGCGCGCCTGGAGGTAGGCAGCCCAACTTGCTGCGGAGTACGGCGGGAGCCCTGCTCTTCTCGCGAGGAAAGCACGCGATACAGTGTACTACCTCGAGTGCGGGCAAGAAGCGCACAGCCATGAGTGCGAGAGGGGCAGAGCGACGATAACATCGCGTACCGTGAGAGCGACCAAGCCTAACGCGGCACACGGTAAAAAACGGAACCTGGTTTTCCCAGGAACTTCATGGAAATCGCCTGTGTCTCTACACGGTAAAAACGATTCCTGGTTTTACCAGGAACACTCTGGAAACCGCCTATACCTTCCACCATTGCCTTCCTGGGAAAACCAGGTTTCGTTTTAAACCGTGTACCCGAGGGGGAAATCACTCGCGTAATAGTCGGGTCGCCAATTCCTAGTATTACGCGTACGTAATAGTAATAGCGCAAAAGCAAAATTTTTAAAAAAAATTCCCTATTTAGGATCCGATATTAGCCTAACTATGGATAATTTCGAGCGTAATAAGCCTTCTGTAAAAGCGTAATAGAACGTAATAGGATGTAGTCGGGTCACAGTTTTTAAGAGTGATTTCCCCCTGGCGGGTACCATAGGCTTCCCGGGAAAACCAGGTCCCTTTTTACCGTGCAGGCAGAGGCAGTTGCGCTGTTGGAACTGGCGCAGCATCGCGAAGCCTGTTTCAAGTCAAGGTCTGAGTACACCCACCTTGTTCAAATGAAACAACGTAAAGCTTTTGCCCGGTCAAACTGTGTGGCGGACGGGTGGAATAATTTAGAACCACAAGTGTGTAACCAAAATAGTGTGTTGGCCTGCAAGAGCCAACATAGAGAGGGACTGAAATGGAATAGAACGGTGACGTAGTGATACTAATAAGTTTGGCACTAAAGTCGGAAGAAAAATGTTGCGGGTGCCGTTCACTGCCGCATGAACACATCAACCTGAGAACCATTGTCGTTTCCTTTTACGTATTCTTGAGTGGTTGCTGAAGAAGATGGCCTTTTCCCCCTTGCTGCTCGCTGTGGAATCCCAATGCTGCCTGCCACTGAAAATAGAAAGGTCATACTTTTGACCGGTT